TTTTATTAGTTAAAAAAGTTTCAAAAATCCAATAGATTTCGTTCCACTTCACAATTGTGTCCCACTTGTTGGTGATTCTTCACATAAAATAAAAAATGTATATCTTTATGTTTGAAGCCTGAAATGTGGCAAAAGGTTGAAAAGTTCAAGGGGGCCGAATACTTTCGCAAGGCACTGTATATACAGTTTCTTGCATTAGAAATTTGTCTTTTCACATACTCTATCTTGCTCTCCATGAGATACACAGACAGGGAGAGAAGCTTGGGGTCAAAGCACAGGGTCAGCCATTTATACAGCACCCCTGGAGCAGCCGGGATTAAGGGCCTTGCTCAGGAGCCCAACGGATAAGGATTCCTCTGCCGGCCACGGGATATGAACCAGCAACCTTTCAGCCACAGGCGCAGATCCTTAGCCACAGTGCCACCGCTCCGCCCGTGCAACATAGCCATACAGTACCATGTAGTTTGAAAAATATTTTCCTATATGTGTTTAGAGGTTTTCTTTTCTTGTTATGCAGGTATGTGTAACTTGGATATGAATACTTAAAAATGTAGAAGACGACAGTGTCTTCTGTTGTAGATAACTAAGGCACTTTGTAATTTTAGCAAATATAGTTTAAAAAATTTAAGAAGTACAGTGCCGTCAGTATTCACAGGTGACCACTAAACATTAGGCATATAATGCTGTCCTTGCCTCTGAAATGGATCAACATAACTAAGTGTCTTTATTAACATCATACTGTATACTGTATGCCCATTTTTATAGAGGTTAAGCCAGAGAACTGTGATGTGAATATACTATTTCCATTATTGTGGGGAGGTCGACTCTAGTAGGTTATATAAAATTTTCTTTTATATATTTTATACTATTTTGTGTGTGTTCTCTTTTTAAGCTTCACTATTGTAAAGTTGACAAAACATTTTTACAAAAAAATAGCTTTTATAAACACTTACCAGACAATCTCTTTGATTCAAGTTTTTGTCAGGGAAACTCATTTAATAAGAATAAACATTTATTGCCTAATACAGTAGGTAACTTTACATAACTGATCATTAAACCCCATCCTTCAAAGTATCACTGCCCTCTAAGTAGCCCTTGAGACTATTCTTGCTGGGCTGGAGGGAAGTATTTTGCCACTCCCTCTGAGACAGCCAGGAAAGGAGGTTGGTCATTTCTAGAAGCAACTTTAGAAGCAATCCATCTTTGCCATTTCATTGGCTAAGTCTGAAATTAGTTAGCTAACGAGCCATTATCTAATGTGCAGAGAGATGTTGTGTAGGGAAAAGGGAACTGAAGTAGCATGGAGTGCTTTGTGCTCTTAAGATTGGAAAATGAGCTAATTGCCCTGGTCCTTTGCTTTTCTAGGTAGGAGGGAGATCAGAGTCAGAATTTAATGTAAACATTTTTTGCAGTTATTTTCAGTGAAAGTGTGCATTAATAAACTCTTTTTTTAACACAGTATTCTATATTTTATTAAATATTAAAAATCGCTTTGCTACACACAGAGTCAAAATAAAACAGTAAAGGTTATATTCATCATACTGTACATTTACATGTAAGAAGGAAGAGAAAGGATAATTCTGTTACACTTCTTATCAACAATAATGATAAATCTAAATAAAATATATTTTTTGTGCACACAAAGATAACACAATTCTTTGATAACATAATTTTGACCATCTTAAATGCATAGTAATCATAAAGAATGTTAAAACGGTGGGTTAGTAATGTTTGGAGAAATATAAAGAAGGGCTTCCACATAATGCTCATACACTGTTTTTTTTGGTGAATGGTTATACAGTATATGAAAAGCAGTGCTTTGTAATTAGACCCATTGCTGTACCTTCAGTGTTTTTTTTTCTGTTTTTTACAGAACTGTTTGCAGATTTGCTTAGTTATCCTAACTATTTATTAAACTGACATTTTTTGGTCAATAATTCCAGTTTATTTTGAAGTGTCTGTTCCAGTACAAGCATTTTATGTTTCATAGAACTTCATGTTCTATAACTAAGGTTACATTTTGAAGTCTGTTTCAGGATAAAAAGTAGGTGGAATGAACTCTAAAAAGCTCTTCAAAATACTAGAAAATCTAACTACAAGCTTTTTGTACTGTATAAAAGTTGAACTTGTACAAAAATCTTTTGTGATTTACAGATGTTGGTTTTGATAGCAGACTGCTTATGTCCATCTAAACCACTGTACAAAGAAGTAAGAACAGGTAAGAGTGGTATGCATTCAATAATATATAGACACTTACAGTATTTTGTCTCTCTTATGTCCACTTAAATGTATAATGTGTCGTTAGTTCATAACTCTTCAGACAAAAATATTTTTTTTATGTGAATTAGAATTTTTGGTATCTAAAAATGCCTTAAAATGAAAGTCATGCTCACAAAATAAAACAATATCCTTTATTTAACAAATGTAGAAAACATTTACACAGAATGCTAAAAATATATATATATATAAATGTATTCATAAACACATTGGGTGAAAAATATTTTGACTGTTTTGATGAACCAGGTCAGATGGCCCAGTGTGCTGGGTCTTGTTACTGCATCTTAATTCTTGGGCTGTGGAATTGGTTTCCAGAATGGGGCGTCATCTTAGTGGAGCCTGTTCTCCCTGGGCGAATGTGTGTTTTTGCTGGGTGCTCCTCTTTCCTCCCACCTTGTGAAGATATGCAGCTGATAGGTTAATTGGTGGTAATTGTGCTTGTGTATCTTACAGTACCTTGCACCCTATGTTTTTGGAAGATCAGCTTTGAAAACAAGACTAGACAACATGTGTAGTTTAATTAATTTGCTAATGTCTCTTCTCTACCTGATGTGCTGTATGGGACCGCTGACTTTTTGTCTTTTCACAAGCCTGTTGTGTGTCTCCAACTGGGTGCTACACTTCAGTGGTGGAATAAGTGGGTTTCTTTCTATCCGTAAAGCACATTGGAATCCTTTAGGATGAAAAGCATTACATAAAAATCAGGAAATAAGAATTATTCCAGATGCCCACACTCCTTTGTGTAAGAAGTGCTTCTCAGTTTTAACTGCACTCTCCTATTGTTTCAACTTACTGTATATCCTTTGTTTATTATTTCACTATTTATTCTGAAGAAGCCTACTGAGTTGACGTGTTCAATACCTTTGAAGGTCAAACACAGTATTCAGATCACCTTCAGTCTCTTCATAATCTTCTCGATTCAAAACTATGGAAAAGAACAGATTTAGTTCTTTAGCCTTTCGGTGTAGGATCTTCATTTAAACACAAGAATGTGCAGTATCTGTTACTGTTGACTGTACTAATTCTAGTCCAAAAATGACCAAAATCATTTTAACCATTCTAAAGGAGGTTTTGTTAATTATACAATTTTAAATTCCCTTGAATTAAATTCTACTTTTTTCTTTTATTTCTGAACATTTTCCTTGACATTTTAACATGTCCTCCACTAGAATTCTATGCTTTTCATGATACCCAGACAGGTTTTTGTTTTGTTTGCATAGCTTAATTGATAATTAGTGGTATTATAATGTTTGTGTATCACACTTATAATTGTTTTTGTTTTGGATTTATTGTCAGTAATAATGAATCTACAAAGCAGCTAATCAAAGTGTGTAGAATACATTTACGGTTTCCACAAAGATTGCCACCATTCTTTCCTGAACTTCTGCTAAAACGCTTAAAAGTATGTTGTTTGAAAGGTGAATTACAGGATGAGAGTTTGTGTAAACATCTGCGCATATGTTGCTATGGAAACTCAGTAGGGAAGTACAGTGGGAGAGATTGAAGGAACTGCTTAGGAGACCTGCTTAACTGCTTTAATACACGATTTTATCCTTCTTGCCAAAAAATAAAACTCACAGTTAATTTGCAGTTTCATTATATTAGTTTAATCACATACTGTATATTCATTTTATGTCTGGTGAGAAGACAAAATCCTTGACATAATAATACAGAAAATAATAATTGTTTGTCCCCCAAATCCTTGGATTTTACCACAGAAATTTGTGCTATATTGAATATTCCCATGGTTATGCTGTACGTTTGTGTTACATTTACTTTGCTTTGAAACAGACTGAAATGTTTTTTTTATTTCTTCATGTATTTGTAATTTGATTTTTAGGATGACCTGTTGAAATTCAATAAATTATTTTATTAAAAATTCACCTAAGATTAAAATTGTGTTATGAAGTCAAAGATGCAGATGACAGAATCGAAGGTGTAAAAATAGTTGGAGCTGCTTTACTGGATTGAGCAGTGAGTTATTTCTAAATCCCAGGGCTCTGTGGGAACTCAAAAAGTCACCTACAAAATAAATCTGTCATAACATATCTTTCAGTGGATATCATACCTATCGGACCAAAAAATGTTACGTAATTTGACAAGTTATTAATTGGATTCTTTGAAAATTCTGTACGCAGATCTTTGAATCTTGTATTGTACATGATATTGTCTTTGTACAGTCAAATTTCAGAAAGATCTCAAAGGGTCTTTTTTTTAGAAGTCTGAGGACTGTGATACAATCTGGATTAAGTAATGCAATGTTTGAAAGACTAACTGACAAAAATGTTCATCTCTACTCCTTCTTCAGGACAAGGTCCTATCTTTAACAAAATGAAATATGTTTCTTGAAGAGATATGTTTCTGGCATTGTGAAATTATTAGATATTTTCAAAAATGATTTAAGGTTAATGACTAAACAAATGAACAATAAATTTGCATTCACAACTACAGGGCCTTTAAGTTATTTCACTGAAGACACTCCTTTCCCATGTCAGTTTCTGTGGACTATTGATAATAGTGATAACTCATTTCTGTTGCAAAAACATTTCCAGGAACGAGATGGTCCATACAGAAATTTGTTTTTGTGCTTCTTTTGGGGATTTGTGAGGAGTTTATTCAAGAAAATACATTTGCTTTATTGACAGAAGTGTATATGAAAGATGAATGTTCTGATGAAGAACAAGAGGACCTTTCTACAGAGGAAAAACACCTTTCTGATGGAGAAAATGAAATGGGGAATCCCAGTGACAAGGAATCTGTAGAAGAGGAGGCCCCAGTTCCAGAAGACCTAGGAACAGACACAACTGATGCCCAGCTGTCTGAAGAGTTAGCCGAGAGCACAGTGAGGAAAAGGAAACCTCAAGTACCAGATACAGAGGAAGAGACTTAACCAAAAAGTCTTAAAAGATGCATTGACTGGACATATAAATTAAAGAAGGTAAAGTCCTGGCCCTCATGCTATTGTATAGCTATTCTTTGTTTTGAAATGGTCAGCTGAGGAATATCTGTTGCATTTTAAGGTGTTTCCCAGTTAGATCTATCAAAACACACTTTACAGTACCTAGATGAATGTCTCATGTCATTCTGCAAGTCTGACTTTCCTCAGGCAGACTTGTGCTTACTTTTGGGCTATCAGATATTCTATGTCTTGTGATCAATCCCTTGTCCTGTGATTTTGCTAAAATGTTTTCTACAATGGATTTATTTTCTTATTGTTAAATTGACACATCCATTAGTATATGTGACACTTTACATTCTCTAATTTTATGGCCGTTAGGTTGATAAATCAGGACCAAAGAGACAAATCAATCATGGACCATTTTATAAAAAAACATTTTTTCATTATGTTTATTTTTTTACAGCAAGTACCTGCTTGAGTATTTCCAGAATGCTGGTATTACTATACAGTACATTCATGTTTTTTGCTTTTCACTTACATTTCATGATCTTAGTGTAATTTGTCTTCATAGATTGAAATATAAAGAAATCATTCTATCTCGCCATACTATATATCTGACATGATCTTGAAGTTAGTGTTGTTAAGATTTAGATTTAGTTAGATTTAATCATTGTTTGTTACACAAAAGAAATACAACATTTAATTGTAACATAAGCACTTTGTGATCTTGCATTGTCCAGCTGGAAAATCAACATTTCTGGACTGACTTTCAAGAACCAAGAGTCTGGTGGCTTAATGTACAGTATAGCTGAACAGTTAGGTAGCCCTCAGTCTGAACCAAAGGTTTTTATGTCAAAGAAGAGTTCTCTGTCCATTGTCAGGCAGGTTGTTGTGAATAAAATGACTGTCATCATAATGCTTACCACAACATCTTCATACACATTGTTTTTAATCTGTTATAGACAAAATGGTATTTGTCAGTTAATAAAGTACTTCACAACACACTCAGTTGTCAACATGTTAGCCTAGAATGGCCTCCCAGCAAAACATTTTATGCGGACAGAGAGCTGCATTACCTTTAGTGCTACAAGAGTTATTTTGTCCTGGCTTTTCTTGTGCCGTCATTACTGTAGTCTGAAAATTATTTTGAAGAGGTAACGCAGATGTGAAGATCCAGAGCCAGTGTGGTTACCTTTGGCCTTTCATGATGTGGCCTGTATCTTATAGAGCTGGTTTCCTGGTTTCTCTTGACTACTCTGCTGATTGTTGAAGAAGAATATCCAGGCACCTTTTCTAACAGACAAGCAACCTTCATTCATGCAAAAAAACATAGAAGTGATCTTTAATACACTAGTGGTTATATTGTAATATCTACTTTTTTATTGTTTTGATTATTTATATATATTCCTAAAGTATTTAAATGTTATACTTTAAGCATTTTTAGGATATAAACCTTGATAGAAAAACATCTGACGGGAAGTAAGTATTGCAATGTTGACACTTGAATCTTATTTTATGGAGTTGAATGATATTTACATTTTCATAATAGGTAAAGATTTATTTATAAAGGAACATTTGCTTCTCTATTCCTCCAAGATGCTTTCAAAAGCACTCATATGACCTTTCCTCAGGATACATTCCAGTGTTATGGATAATAGTGTTAATAATCCTAATGTCACGTTATATTTATTTTAAAGCTATTTTAATGTTTGTATTCTAGTACCATTATCATTAATTAAATTAACTATATTTAACCATTTCACAATTTTAGCAGCACATGGCACACAAAGTAAAATAAAAAATATTGTTTTCTTCCACCATAATTCATGTACTACCAGAGAGTTCTCATTACATCTGCTTTGATTTTAGCCTGGTACTATTTTACATAAAGTTAATGTCAAAACTGCTCATATAGCAGGGCAATAGACTGAGAAACAAGATGCATATGCAGTGTATTACCAGAACTCTTGATCACAACAAAATAGATGATCACTATTTATTTAATACTGCACATTGATAGACAAACTCTTAATATTAAATCCTAGAAGAGACAATACTGTTTTTGGTCTCTTCCTTACATGCTCAACCATGTAAGTACAAACATTCTGTCTGGGACTGAGCAGAACTTTTAAGCATTATTGTTGTTTTTAATTTATGTGTCTTTGAGATGAAATGTCATAGGTAATGGCAGTGCACTTGAGGTTTGAATTTGGCAATATACTTGTGCTTATGATGCTCTTCATGAAAAGCAATATCCCTAGTCCAAACCAAAAAAGAGAAAACAGGCCTGGCTATCAGTCTGCCATTTCCAAACTGAACAGTCTTGACAGTGCCCTGCAGAACAAAACATTCTGCAGGCTGCCACCATACCTGGATTGTACCCAGACAGGAGCAAACGATGTGTATCAGGATTCATTACTCTTTGCCATTGGTCTGTATGCCACTGGTACTGAGATCATTATTGCTGTTTTTGTGATTTAATGGCTTTGAGGTGGTTACCTTGCCTTAGAATCCTTTAGCATGTAATTTCCCACACACAGTAGACACACAAACACATCTATAGTCTTTGATCTCCTGGATGATTGCTTTTAAGACCCACATGTGGCTCATCTTCACATTATGTTTCACTATTCACCAAGCTTTTTCCATTGTAACGTGTACCCATTCTTCTCCAGGCAAAAGTCTACCAAGCTGCTTGCTTTTTCACATTTATTATTTGCCGATGTTGAATTTAGGTAGGATGATGTTTCTGTAATCTTAAAGATGGTAATAAATGTCATAAAGCTTCATACCAGAAAGAACTAGCTGTGACACATAACAAATTATTTATGTGTTCCTTTGGACAACCTCAGACTTTTTCTTCATAGCACATGACCTCTGGTACAACTCTAACTACTTTTGATACAATAATTATTGTTATAGTAAGGTATAACATACATTGTGAGCACATCTAATAACAGTATGTCAAATTGAAAAAAGGAGTACTTTTAAAGTGTAGTAAAAATACTTTTGATTTAAAATCCAGTATTGCTATGACAACACAACTCACAGTTGCATATCATAACTTAAACTACACAATTAATTTTTGTTATTTTTAGTAGCTTACTTAAAAGTGGGTGCACAAAACCTTGAAGGTTTAGACTTCTTTTTAGGAAATTTGCTTTGAAGGCTTTCACTTCCAAATGTATCAAAAATAAGATAACACAATCAATTCTGAAATGCATTTGGAACAAATGCTGTCAGACCATTGTGGGACTCACGCTGTCACTTTCATTTGTTCTGCTGAGGATCCTGCTGTAACAGCTGCATTTTAAACAAGCTACAGATTGAATGAAATGCAAGCTGTTAGTCTAGCAAAAGATGTATTATGAATGTCAATTCATGACAAAGCAAAAGCATTGAAAAGTGGCTTATTCACACCAAGTGTTAGGGAGTATAAAATCAAATAATCCAAAATACTGTCTTAGAAAATCACGTGAAGTCAGATTAACAAATCTTTTTAGGTGGGACATAGGATGAAAAACCACTGTCTTTCTTTTTCAATTCGCTGTGTAAAATCTCCATGCCTTTTTGTGCTCTAAAATAAAAATAAGGGGAATATATCCCATGATCTGGTAAAATGATTACTGATCTGGTGTGGATTTCCCTGTGAGCTCACTTTTTTTCAAAGGGAAAAGTATCATTTTAGACATTCCAACTAGACATCCATTTGTCAATGGATATGTTTATTGTAACAAGGAAAACAGCTGTGTTCTAAATTAAAAATAATTATTAAACTGTAAGGAGGGGTGTCGCCACTTTTTGTGCAACCAGTTTGCTTGCCACAGGAAAGAATATGAGATATTATCTTTTACTTCTCCTGTTGATTTACCACAAGCATATGATGATTTGTAAAGCTTATCCTCTGCTTGTAAATTTATACTCAGTGTTTTGTACAGGGTACATTTAGCATTCAATTAATGTCTTCGATCAATGAATAAAACAATGCCGATTTCTAAAATGTCCATGTGCCTAATTGTAGAGTATGTAGTCATAATTCACAGATGATGACACTGTTTTTTGGTAAGCAATGCAAAAACCTTGACAGAACACATACTGTAGATAAAGAACACAAGTTGCTAACTGAAATACCGAAAATAAAGGAAGTAGTCTCTTCTGATAACGTAGTCTTCAGTTGAAAAGATTTCAGTTTCAGTTGTTGGTTAGTGGCATACTCAGTTTCTGTCATTAGTTTGAGCTGTAATTTACTGATTACATTTTCTTCTTTCGAAATATGAGTACAAAATATCATGTCATTCATTGTTCACGTTATTTTTAAGTAGTCTTGCTTTATGCTAGTTTCAATTGCACAACATACTATATATCAAAGGCAGGTAGCCAAGAAGAGTGCTTTTATCCTCATTTACATCATGATAATGCAATATTTAATGTACTAAATGTGCTTAATGTTAAATTATACTGTATATGATTACTTTACAGTTAAGAATATTGGCTTTTTACATAAATTTTACTGTACAGTATATGGAGCAGTGCCAACGTACCACACTTTGTGTAACCAAATTTAAAAGTAATAAAAGGATCTCAGAAATCCAACTCCTTGTATATAAAACAAGGGTATATTAACATATATAATACATAATTAAATTAATACATTTAATTGAAATTGTCAACTTCTTTCTTCTTATTCTCCAAATTGGCTTAAAGCTAATTGATTTTGGATTTTAATAGCATTGTTAATGTCAACATTATGCAACATATTATTTTTAGTTGCAAAGTTACCAAAAGTATTACAGTACAGTATATACAATATTTTAATTCATATGGCATAATATATGAATGTACAGTAGTACATTAATAATTACAATTAGGTTTAATACATAATACAATATTTTCAATTATCAATTTAATAAACATTGATGTTAAAAATGTTTCCATATACTGTTACTTTTTGGCCATATACAAAATGCCACTTAGTGAACAAAATATATATTTATTAGAACCCAAAGAAATGTCATTGTTGATAGAAAAGTATTGTTTTGTGTATTTTTTATTTCCATGTGACTTGTAGATCAGGATTAAAATTTAAATTGCATCCAAATATTAATTAATGTGCTCGAACATAGTTTGAGTACAAATTATGGAAATATGCTCTTATAAGTTACTAGCTACTCTTTAAACAGTGTCTTTGCATTCAATTTAGAATAAATTATTAAAGAAATGTCTTTTAACCCTGAATTGGTCTCTGCAAATGGAAGTATTTATTGTTTCAGTTAAAAGTGAAACTTTTGTGTTTCCAATTTAAACTAATATTTCTTAATTGCTAACCTAAGGCTTTGTGAAATCTGCATTACAGCATTATATATTTATTTGCTATTGTGCAGTGCTTGCTGCTTCAAGTAAATCAATATTGGGAGGCCAATGTTAAAATACAAAACTAATATAATAATTATTTTCCTATCTGCAATGTATGAAAAAAGCTTTTGTGTTTTTTACACTATATTTTAATATGTGCTTTTTACATTCTTGTTTATTTCTTTTCTGGTTACAATAAGAGCCTAATGGAGTTTTCCCAGAAGAAAGAATGTTTATATACTGTATACAGTATATGCTGTATACAGTACATGTTGTTAAATGTTAAATTACTTTGTTGTAATGTTATTAAAGAGCTTTTTTAAAAATAGAGTAATCTTTTGTTTTTTTGAAACAGAATGTTGCACTTAAGGAACTTAAGTATGGCAGAAAACAAAAGAAATCCAAGAGGTCCACTTTGTCTGTCCAGTGCACATCTATTGATCTGGTCTGTTCAGTCTGTTCTGTCAAATATACATCCTCCACATGAGTCAATCAACTAAAATGCCTGCTTTTGTTTGTCAGATTTGTTTGCTTATGGCAAGAGGAACCATGTTCTTTAATAAAGGAGTCTAAAGCTCAAATATGATTTCATGGATTAACACCTTGGTCACTAACTTTAATGTTTCCTTCAATTAAGTCTTGCACTTTGCAGTTAAGTTTATTTGGGAGGTCTGACAGTTCTAGAAATTCTAGAAGTTCTAAAATCTCCCAAAGGTTCAATCAAAAAGGGTTATGAGTTTTCAACCACAGTGAATGACATTAATGCAGTAAATATTGTGTAAATAGCATTCTGTAGTCTGATATAAAAAAACATTAAAAATAACCAGATAGAGACCCCTGAAGGATACAAAAGCATAGACTGAGCCCTATGATTGAGACATTGCCAGTTTTTGAGTTTGACTAAAAGATCCCAAGTTGTTTTGCACATCGGATAGCTACAGATGCAGCCATTCAAAGTGCGCGGTACAGACACGTACCGGAGGTAATTGGCTATGGTGTCTCGCATTGTGACGCATGATGACGTGCGGTACCATGGTACGTGATTGGTTGACCGACAGGGGCACTCATGGTCCGTTGGTCTGTCGTAGAAAGATGTACAGTAAACGTCTTTACTGTGCTCATTGTAGTATTGAATATTTATATGGAATTTTACCACTGAAGGGAAATCTAAGTAGCTGAGCATAAAAAGAATAGGAGCATACTGTAACGCGTCTGAAGGCCATAAACGATATTAATTTTGGAACATATACAGTATATAGCTGGTCTCGGTACTTTAAAGAAAAAATACACACCAGTATTCCATTTCTCCCTAAACATTTTAAGCATCAAAGTCTTTAACTAACGAGATACTGGAGTCAACAAGCATACTTTTAGAATTTGATTAAAAGGGTATATAATATGGATTTGCGTATCTAAAGAAATTAATAACAATATAATTATATTCGTGTAATTCAACACAAGAATAGTACACGCTGTACATTGTCTGTTGATAATGTTTCTGTAGTGCTTTTTCAGCACTCTACATGTGACCTTGCCGGTGGCGCTGTGGGTTAGGTTCCTGACTCCCATGTCACACGGTCTGTGATCGAATCCCACTGTGGAACCATTACTTTTTTTTTTTGACAAACATTTCTTTGAAAAAATGAAATGTTTCCCTTGGTCACAGATTAAATAAAACCTCACTCGCACCAAACAAATTTATATTTCTAAATATCACAACATGATCAAATTTAAGTCATTTTAATAACAATGAATAGTCACCTAGGCGTTACAATATAAACACATTTGCGTTTTGATTTAAATATATGTGTTTTTTGATTCACAATCAGACAAATGCAACATAAATTGATATCTTTGTCTTCTACGTATCTTAATAAACTTTCAGCATAGCTTTCTCCCCGTTTAGATTTATTTTTCTTGGGATCTTGGGATCAAACGTGGAAAGATTAGATTGTAATCGTTTTTATTTTTTAAATACATTGTGGAGTTAAAGCAAATTAAAGCCTTGATTTTATATTTCACCTTTAAAAGTGGAATCTCAAAGCAAAGTAAATACCCAACACCGATTGTACCCATCTGTCATGCTAATAAAGCACCTTGAATTGAATTGAATTGAGGGAGAGAGGGGGGGAGGGCGAGCGAGAGAGCCAGGACAGACAGGCAAATAAGATACACTCCACAGACATTCACAACAGCGACATATCATAAAACGTTTGCACATATAGTTAAGTTATTACTTGGTTTTCAAAGTGCAATGAAATACAATATTGTTGTTGTTGCTGTTATTGTTGTTTTTATCCTGTAAAGCATTTTGAGAAGCCACCTTTAAAGGTGATATATAAAAGCGCTGAATCTTATGGAATGTGTTCCGCCGGGGATTCAAAAAATTTATTTTTTTTAATCGCGTATCTAAGGAAATAGCAGTATGACTTTGTTCATGCACAAACAGTGGCATGTTACATTATTAATTTGGGTGTCTCCTCTTGCCAGAAAGCTCTAAATTATTTTAAACTGTATTACAGCAGCACAATGGACAATGCAACGGAAATTGCAAAAATGCACTTGGAATCTGTCCAAGCCCTACTTTGTCAGGCATTTTCTTTTACTGCAACGGACATAAAAACTCCCTTGCTTTTAACAGAGCGTTTCATAATTTCTAACTACGAAAAATATTTAAACTGCGACACTTATCATTCATTCCATTCCATTCCATTATCAGTCTTCCATTTCTCCCTAAACATTTTAAGCATGAAAGTTTTATGAAACTGTACCCAAATATGCGATTGCTGTATGGAATGAATTTTAATTTAAAAAAATAATTTAACACGAAAATTAAGCTGTTTACATCTTCCGCCTGAGAACAGTCACCCGTTGCTACCCAACGCAGAAACACAGCCACTAACTAGCAAAGAGAAGACATTAGCTAGCCAATATGATAAAGAAATAAATGATTATTTTGTTTATTTCTTTTGCACATTTATTTGAACATTTCCATCGATTGTACAAGCACTTGGAAACTGTCCAATCCCTAGTTCATCAGGCATTTTCTTTTAAGCTGCGGGCATTCTCCTGGTCTGGCACCGATCTGTGTCTTCTAGGATATAATGCTAGCGAACTCTTGTTTTTATGTCCACTATAACAGACAATTTTATAATTTGCTTTTAACCGAGCGTCTAACCCCTCTGATTGGAGAAAAAAGACGTGCTGGTTTACTATACATACTGTACCAGGAAGATTTTTTCTTTCTATTCGAAACGTGTATTTTAAAAGTTTAAGAAGTAAAAACCTTACAGCGTACACAGATTTCTAAACTGATCAGG